GGAGGAGTAATCCACGTGTGACCTCAGCAATGCACTGAGAGCCAGATGGCCAGTGCACAGCCACAGCCACAGTGATAAAGTATGGGGAGTCCAGGCCTTCGGTGTCAGCAGGGCATGGCCACCCCTCTAGTGTCCAGGTCCAGGGCACTTTCTTGTTGCCCTGAATTCTGCCCTCTCTAGGTTTGTTAGATGTGTCTCACAAAAGTTCACTTCTACCAAAATTTGTTTATTTTCTATTAAGAAATGGAGCTTAACTGGGGCTCTACGAGTCCTTAAGTGGGGTTCCTACAGGGCATGGAACTCTCTTGGGATTACAAGGAAGAGGGGGCTCTTGTTTGGAGCGCCAAGCATGGGCTTGAGAAGCAGCCTAGAGGCCGGGTTACAAACGCAGGGCCTCCACTCACTTCTCTGGGCTTCGGAGTCCACATCTGGAATTAAGTGTCTTTTAGGGTTCCTTTCTATGGCATGTAGGAGCCCAAGGGAGAGTTTAGCACCTGCTAGGGCAGAAGTTGGCAGCTGCTAAGAAGCAAGTTGCTGGAGCTCTGAGCCTTTCCCTCTAGAATCAGTCCAGCAGGGGTGGGGTGCAGGTGTCTGCCTGCAGGTGTGGACATTCCTGGCAATGCCTCCCTCAGCTTGTTCGCAGCTCACAGTGGTTCTTGCAGCCACAAACTGTGCATGGCTCCCACGTCCTGAAATGTTCAGCAGGAAAGTACATAGTGTCCTCTCAGCTGTTCTGCTGACAGATGCTGACAGATGCCTAGGAGGTGTTTACGAGACCCAGCGAGTTCTGGGGAGGGATGGGTTGCAGGGAGAGGGGACCTCAGAAAGGTGGGGAGTGTCTCCAGTTCTGCCTGGTTCTGTTGAGTCACAACCACCTGGTTTATTGAAGGGACAGAAGACCTGCCACCCTGGAGCCAGAGGTTTCAGAATTCTCATTCGGGTGAAGGGAGTGGGGTTGACTGTGTCCTCTGAGGTTTTCCCCAGCTCCAGCTCTGGTTTCTGTGTCCAAGAGCCAGGAATAGAGAGGAGAATAATAGTTTTACCCCTTATCATGGAAATTTGTTGCGATAAACAAAATATGCTGAAGGCATAAATGTTAGGCAGAATCATCCGGGAGTGTGGTAGGTTGGGGAAGTTTGGGGGAGGGCCTTTTTACATCGGACCCGAAAGGATTGGGTGTGGGGTGGTGAGCCGCTCCTCCCATCTGCCCTGTGTCCTGTACTCTAATCCTGTTTCCTGTCATTTAAGGCGAGGTGCTCGCGGTCAGTGTCAGCAGTAACATGTGCTGCTTAACTGTTGTCACACTCTGCGGCTTATAAGGCCTTTCCATGTGGGTGACCTCATCTGAGCTTCCTGACAAAGGAGCTGCTGTGGGACTCCTTTCAGTTTGCCTGGGTAGGGAACAGAGTCCTGGATCTTGAGGCCTCCGCACCAGATACGGCTTCCTAGCCATGTGCCCTCGGGCAAGTTGCTTACCTTGCTGATCCTCAGTTTCCTTAGAAGAGTACCCTGAGCACTAAATAATAGAAGGTATATAAATGGCTATAAGGTGGGTCCTAAATGAATGTTGTCTCCAAGAAGTTGTTGGTCACCTGGCTGTTGGGTTGCAGGGCCCAAGGCTGAGCCAGGATTGTCCACCCACAGATTGACACCAGGGTCTGACGTGTATCCAGGATGCACTGAGCTGTCTCTCAGTGCTCCTGTAACGTGCTCAGGTGGGGTCTGGATAGCCCAGCGATAGACTGGAGCATAGAAATGGTAACACATTTCGTTTGTCTCCCTTGTCTGGTTACTGCAGACTCTCAGATGGTCCTGTACAAATAGCTTTGTCTTCAGTTCCTGAGTCTGTTCATCGCTCTTCACGTGTGCTGAGCTTCTATAGGGTGTTGAGCACCAGGGTCTCTCCATTAGTGATTTCTAACATCTTTGGTATTACAGACCCTGGATAGAAAACTATAGCCCCTTTCCTCAGAGAATTTTTCTAGCTTTGTTGTTGAACTATTTAGAAGTGAGTTGTGGTCATGCAGTCCTAAGAACTGCAGCACATTGCCTGAAACATGGACTCTCAGCCTCAGCAACTACTACTTTTACAGTTAACAATGATCTCATAATATGACTCAACACCTCGTCCTTTGTCAAATTTCCTTAACTGTCCCAAAACGATTTTTATAGCTTTTTTAAAAAAAGCCAGGAGCCAATCAAGGTATTTGCATTTTGTTGTTACTTTTCTTTAGTCTTTCTAAATCAATAAAAATCCTTTTTCATTTTTTATGATATTAACATTTTAAAAGACCAGGCCAGGCCCTGGCCAGTGTGGCTCAGTTGGTTGAGCATCCTGTGCACCAAAAGATTGCTGGTTCAACTCCCAGTCAGGGCGATGCCCAGGTTGAGGGCTCGATCCCTGGTAGGGGGCGTGCAGGAGGCAGCCGCTTGATGTTTCACTCTCACATTGATGTTTCTCTTTCCCTCTCCCTTCCTTTCTCTCTCTCTAAAAAAAGAAATCAATAAAAAAAATCTTTAAAAGTAAATAAAGAAACAAAAGACCAGGCCAGTTTTTGTGTGGAATGTCCTGTCTTCTGGACTTATCTGATTGTTTCCTCATGATGTAGTTTAGCTCATTTCTCTTTCCCTCATAGTTTCTGTAAACTGGAAGTTAGGTCTAAGGGCTTGATTTGATTCATTTAGGTCAAGCATTTGTGGCAGGACTACTTCAAAGGTGACATGTAATTCATATGGTGCCACATGGGAAGCATGTGCCAGGTTGTCCCTCTGTCAGCGATGCTGTGTTTGGTCACTGGCTGAGGTGATCACAGATTCTCTCCCTTATCAGGGTACATTAGGAAACACTAACCCATCTGGAGATACTTTGGCTCCATGGGAATATCCTGTCCTCCAACACCTTTTACATCATGGTTTTAACATCCATTGAAGATCCCTGTCTTATAATGAGATTGCAAGATGGTGTTTTTCTCATCTGTTACCCCTCCTGCACCTGTTCGCCGGTGTTCTTCTGTAACCTGTAGACAATTTTATTTATTGATGACGCGTGTGACCGTTTTCACATAGTTCCAGGGGTTTAAAGCTGCATCAGGGTGCGTGTGGCTCCTGGTGGAGAGTGCCTGCTCTGAGGAGGCGATGCCTGGCCATCAGGTTGGTGCGGATGGGTGCCGAGCTCTTCATGGTCCTTTCACCCCTCTGGGAAACTGCGGCAGAATGAAACCCAGCCCCAATGACAGCAAAGGAAACTGCCTCAGCTCTCAAACTTCTAAGCCCTCAACACAGTGACTGTCAACACCTGCAGTGCTGGGCCAGCTCATTCCCCCAGCAGGCAGACCGGGGAGCTGGGCCCACCACTTCTAAGATTTTTACCAGCTTCAGTATCCTTCTAAACATTTTATCACTTCATCTGCTGGTTAAATTACTCAGCCCCGCCCTCTTCATTTGAGCTTATGTGCACCTGGTTTTACACTCATTACCCTTAAAGTCACACTGCTCCCCCTCCCTCAGGTGCACAGTGGGCCTTGCTGTTGGCAGCGTGATAGTCCCACGTATGTGCGGCACTTCCACTCTATAGAGCACTTTTATATACCGTTTCAGATCCTCAAGAAATAGACGTTTCTGCTTTGATTTTCCTTTGGGTCTTAGAGCCTGGGGGTCATTTCTAGCTCATTTCACTATGGTGAAAGGGCACGAAGGCCACTGTTGCGATGGGCTGTTCCAGGTGCCCCACGACTGCTCCAGTGCTGTCAGGATCCACAGCAGAGCAGGTTCCCAGTCCTGCCCCTTGAGTAGCACGTGTCGTCATGGCTGGTTCTCCCTGGCCCCTCTCTTGCTGCCACTGTATATCTCCGCTCTGCATCTGGTGCTTTGAACACTCCTGGATTTGGGAACTATGGGTTCTGGGCTCTCTCCTAGATTTCTTTCTGTGTACTGTGCTTATGCTCAGTACTTTCAGCGCAGTTCTTTCACTCAACCAATTTAGAAAACCTTGAAGTATTACTCTCCCATTTTATGGATGGATAAACTGAGACTCAGAGTATATAAAATAGTTCTATATTGTCACACAGAGTTGGGAGAAGGGGGCAGCTGTTGTGTCAGAAAGTGGGCCAGGGCGGCAGAGGTTAGCAGACTAAAGTCTCGTGCGTAGCTCTATGCTCCATCTGGGGCCCAAGCCCTCACCTGTGCGTCGCCGGCACAGCCAGCTGAGCAGTCTTGCAGTGGGCTTCGTGAGCCCAGCTGGCACAGCCCATCCGTGTTCTGGCAAAGAGGCCTGTCCAGCTCTGTGGGGGTGGCACAGCTGGGAGCAAAACCAGTGTGGCCAGCGGGTGCTCTGCAGGCAGGCCCGTCCCAGGTAGAGTTCTGCTGTCCGGGGGACATGAACCAGACCCAGAGCCCAGCCCAGCCCAGCCCAGGGAAACACTGGAACTCACACTGCCGGTGCTCCTTGGGTCTTGGTGAAGAACCTCAATGCGCTTAGTCCTGGGACCTGGAGGAGCAAAACGAAGGGGGCCCTGACTGTTGGGGGCCACGGAGAGTGCAGCTTGCGCATCACACAGCTGAGAGCATTGTGGGTAGTGGATATGGTAGATTTGTGTATTTGTTATGAGTTTCCTAGCACTGCTCTCAGGTCCTCTGTTCTATCATAATTGGTATATCAGCTGATTGAAGGAGAGGGCCTTGAGCAGGACTGCTTTCCTGACCCCACAGGCCCGGCTTGGGGCAGCTCTGCTCGACACTCTACCAAGCTACCCACTCTGGCCTCAGTTTCCTCATCTGTAGAGTGAGTGCTGGACTGGATGATCAGGAAGGTGCTCTTGCTCTGCTGTTAGGTGAGCCTGTAGGAGCTGGTAAGTGTCTACTGATTGCTGGGCGGCAGCCCTGTGTGAGGCCACCAGCTCCGCCCTCTGCTGTGTCCGCTCTTGACTCCATGTCTGGTCTCCAAGGAGCAGAAGCCCCCACCAGTGAACAGAAGCCCCTCTGAGCTAAGAGCTAAGGACACCATGGCCACATCAGCACCACTGCGGAGCCTGGAAGAGGAAGTGACCTGCTCCATCTGCCTTGATTACTTGAGGGACCCTGTGACCATTGACTGTGGCCATGTCTTCTGCCGCAGCTGTCCGCCCTGCCTCAGGGGGCCGCCCCGCTTGCCCCCTCTGCAAGAAGCCTTTTCAGAAGGAGAACATCCACCCAGTGTGGCAGCTGGCCAGCCTGGTGGAGAACACTGAGCGGCTGAAGGAGGACAAGGGCGCAGCCCTTGAGGGACGCAGCCCTGGAACAGCGGGATGCAAGGCCGTGTGAGCGGCGCCGGGAGAAGCTGCACTATTACTGTGAGGACCACGGTCAGCTGCTGTGCGTACTGTGTAGAGAGTCCCGGAAGCACCGGCCCCAAACCACTGTCCTGCTGGAGAAGGCCACCCAGCCCCACAGGGTAAGCCCTCCTCACCTTGCAAGGCGCTTTGCCACCCTAGGGATGCTGCGTCTGCACCCACCTGGAGGCCAGGCCTGGCCGACACCCACTGAAGACTTGCCAGCCAAGCACTCAGCATGAGTCCACCCTGCTGCCCAGTTCAGAGTGTCCACCTGTCCCCACTGCTTGTCTTTCTACAGGAAAAAATCCTGAACCACCTGAGTACTGTAAGGAGAGACAGAGACAAAATTCAGGACTGTGAGGCGAAGGGAGAAGCTGAAATCCTGGCTGTGCTGGTGAGGCTGTGAGGGGAGGCCCCGAGGCAATGGCTGCAGCAGCCAGAGCTCCAGGGCTGGTAGAGGTGCAGCCGGAGCCCTGGGCCAGGCCTGGGAGCACTGCACAGGTGGCCGTGGCCGTCGGAAGCCTGCGTTGTAGCCCAGGGCCTGTCGGTTTGAGCCTGGCTTAGGCCTGTTTCCTGATCTGACAAGTAAAGGGGTTGCCTAGATGTCAGCTAAGGTCCCTCCTTCCCTGGGACTCACTTCTGCTGGGCCACTATGGGCAGCTGCCGCTGTTCTGCGGGGAGAGCGCAGGTGTGGGGAACCGAGGAGGGCCTGGCTCACTCTTCCTCTTAGAGAAGAGAGAGGCGTGATTCCTGTGGGAGTGGGAGCTAAAGGGCATGGAAGGAGGGTGCTGGCTCCAGGACAAGGACTGGGGAGGGCTGGGGTGCCCACCTGTGTGCTTTAGTAGGAGTGGTATCAGGAGGAGAACCGAGAAGCAGGTTCCAGTTTCCTGTGGGAAGGGGCCTTGCGGGGTTGTTGGGGCTGTGAGCAACTGGGCCCTGAGAGAGGGAGGGAGCAGAGCAGGAGACAGCTCAAGTTCAAGCAGCGCCTCCAGGCCCTTGGTGTGCATGGACGCATCTCAGCATCAGTCAGCCAGGGGACCAAGGTCACTGACCAGATCCCCACCAGACTTAGCAGTGACACTCAGAGGCAGGAAAGGTCGTGGTCCTGAGCACAGACATTGCAGTCTCACTGAGGGAACAGATGCAGCCCTGCACGCAGGGTGGGTGCTGGAGAGAGGATTGGTCAGGCTTGAGGAGAATAGTCAAAGCGAGCTTCCTGGAAGAGGTGACATACAGGGATTGGCGTCCAGGAGGGAAAAGTATTTTGGCCCCCAGAGTTCCTCAAAGGGCCCTGGAACATACGGTTTTCCCAGAACTGCTAATGGCCGAGCAGCCAGGCAGAGTCAGGGCTCAGCCCTGAGGTGGCGCGTGAACGGAACTGGTGCGCTGACTGTCTTCTTCGAGGAGGCGAGGTTGGCTCAGGAATGCTCAAAAGCCCCCCAGCCTGAGCACTGGAATTCGTGAGTGGGGAGGAGAGCCAGCTCCTGGAAGGGTTTCCCACCTCGAGGCCGAGGTGTGACCCTCCTCCCCTCCTGTCCCTGCAGAAGACACTCCAGGAGCAGAGGCAGCACATCACGGCCGAGCTGGAGCAAGGCCACCAGTTCCTGAGGGAGAGGGAGCAGCACCTGCTGGACCAGCTGGAGAGGCTGGAGCAGGAGCTCCCAGAGGCAGGGAGAAGCACAAAGCCAGGGGCACCCGGGAGCTCACCTGGCTGACGCTGGCCATCCCCGAGCTGGAGGGCAAGGCACAGCAGCGGGGGCAGAGCTCATCAGGGGAGAGGCCTCCCTGGGCAGGGAGCGGCCGAGGTGCTAGGCCTTGCCCTGCCACAGGCTTGCATGGCCTCGGGGCTGCGGCCTTCTCATCTGAAACATGGGCTGCCAATCCTGTTCTGCATACTTGTTCCAGTGGCTGCTTGAGCATAAAATGAGAGGGCTGGCATGGTGCCCCTTCAAAAAGTAAATTTTCTACAAAGCTTAAAAATATTAAGATGGAGGGAAGGTTATCACTGTTTTCATTACTTGCTTCCGACCTCACTGCCGTCATGAGCCTGTCTTCCGACGAGTCTAATGCATCACTGGCAGAGACTGTCCAGTGGAAGCTATTTTTGGTTCTGGAGGTGGAGCTATAGAGGTTGAGGGTGGCTAAGGGAGGCTGGGCGGCAGCTTCTCTCAGGGACCCAGAGGGTCAGAGAGGGTGAGGTCTTCTCTGGACTCTGAAATTACCCTCAGGAGAGATGGAAACAGGTGAGTTGCCTCTGGAATGCTTCCCAATGGAGATGACTTTGATGCTGAGAAAGGGAAAGTCTTAGACAGGAGACCAGGTTGCCCGGTTGAAGTGGCACCACAAGTCCGCACTCCCAGAGCCTCCCAGGGAGTCGTACTGTGCTGAGCAGGGCCCAGCGGCCTGTGGAGGGGCACCTCAGTCCTGCTCTCATGGGCTAGGGGAAGGCGGTGTGATGGTCGCCTCCACTTGCATGGCTTAGAGTGGCTGGGCCTGTCTGTCAGCAGCAGAAATGCTGCTCCAGGCCAGTAGCCAGGCAAGATGGCAGCTGACAGGTAGCAGAGAGGTGGCAGGGCACGCTCCCCAGGGTTCTGTGCCAACACAGACCTTGTGGACAGGTGGCTTTGGCCTGCCTCTCCATGCTTGTGGATTCAGACTTGGGACTCAGGACTAGCGGGATTTTAGATTCTTCTAGTACAGGCCACACTGATGAACTCACTGAGGGCCAGAGAGTGGAAGGGGCCTGTCCCAGGCCAGGAGGGGTAGGTCGGGAGTCAGCCCGAGCTCCAGCCCGGTGTCCTCCCAGCCTCTGAACGCGTGTTCTTTCCTCCCATTGTATCCCGGTGCCTCTGGCTCCGTCCTTTCCTCCAGATGTCATTCTGTTCTCTCTAATTTCTCTCTCAGACTTTGACTGCGCCACTTGCTGCCTCCCCCTTCCGCCTCCTCTTCTCCTTCCCCTTCAGGACGAGCACCCTTCCTTTCCCCATGGCCATGTGCACCCGTGCGCTGAGCAGGGTGCTGGCGGGGCCCACGGTGCAGTTGCATGTGCCCTGAGGGGAGCCTCTCACTACTCTACCTAAGAAGCTGTGGGGCCGGCAGAGGCCTCGCCATCAGTGCCTCCCAGACCCTCAGATCGAAGGCTTCCCTGGGCTGGGTGAGGGTGGGGGGGAGAGAGTTGGGTGTCTGCTTAAAACAGTATATGAAATGTACTGGTGGGTTTTGTCTGTGTTTTGATTTTGCTGCAAGGGAACTGGACAGCTAACTCCTTAGTTGTCACTGATATTTTCCCAGTAAGAATGAGATCCTATTAGGATAGAGCTCTGAGGCAGGAGCCTGGTAGAGGAATAGAGGTGAGAGGGAAGCAGCAGGACTAGAGAAGGAAAACAGCTTTTTGACAAGGAAACAGGAAAGGAAGATCTCTGCACTAGGAATTTTGTGAAGAGGTTAAAGGGGACAGGGAGACAGGCGCGGCCAAGCTGATGCTGACGTCCTCTCCGTTCAGCTGGACAGACCTCGCAGGGTCGTGGCTGCTCACACCTCTGCCTTGCCCACCGCTGGCCACCATCCTTGCCCGTGAGGATCCCCTGCTCAAGTGCTCTTTCTTAGCACCCAGGGTCGTGCCGGCCTGGAGTGCCGTGGTGCACCACCTGGTTTGTGGCCTCCCCGGAGTCGGTGGAGGCCGCGTGTGGCTGCAGGCCACCTTGCACTTCCCGGGCTCCCCCGTGTCCTTTGGGGGAGAAGGGTTCCTGCACTGGTCTCCGGGTCCCACCTTCTCTGGGCCCCTCCCACCCGTATCCCACTTACTTGTCCTTTTACACCACACCCCTCCGCAAACTTGTCGGCACTCACTGCCTCAGACTCGCCGCCAGTCCTCAGGCGGCTTGGACTTGCTGTTTTGAGGCACAGATTAGAAGGATTTGCCAGAAACTCAACCGTGGGCAGCTTCTTCCTGCCAGGCAGGTGTTGCTCTGACCTCTTGTCGTCCTACCAGCAGAGCCCACTGCTTCCAAGACTCTTTCAAACCGTCAGCAGCAGCCACAACACGCCGATGCCATTTGGCTCCCAAACCTTCCCCCTACCCAGTCCTCTTAACTCCGCTCTTTCCTCTCCCGCAGCACTCGCCATTACTATGATGCCATGTGCTTGTTACGTCGACGGCTTGCCGTTGGCCTTCCCTGTTAGGTCAGCTCTAATAAGGGCAGAGATTTGTGTTTGTTTTCTTACTGCTGTATCCCAGGCTTCCAGAGCAGTGCCTGGCATGCAGGGAGCGCTTAATATCTGTGAATGAGGGAAATGAAGGCAAAACTTAATACAGACTATTATGGAGGCTTTAGACTCACAAAAGGAAAATAACCAGCATCTCACAAGAAACCCCACATTGCACCCTGGCCCTGCCTCACCCAGGGCAGCACCCCTCTCCCTCCAACTCATGCCAGGTCTGCCTCAAACATGCCAGTTCTCTCTCCACTGCTGCTGTGCCCCAGGCCATTGTCATCTCCCAGGCCCACAGCAGCAGCTTCCCTCAGCCCATGCTCTCGACAGCCAAGTGGTTGGTCACATAGGATTTTGGTCAGCTGCTGTGTCAAGCTCCAGCCCAGTGACTCAACTGAAACAAGATCCTTTGTCAGTGGCCTTTCCGTGTTGGGGAGTCTGGGCTGTCAGGGTGGCTGTCTGTGAGCTCATCAGAGAGCAGGGTGACTTCCATCTTCCGCTAACTTCAAGGGACCTTGTCCTCAGCTGTGTTGTCGAAGTGGGGCTCACCACCAAAATATTCAGAATTCAGCCAAGGAAAAAGAGGAAGCGGAAAGCAGTTTCCTTCTTCTAAAGGACATGATCCCCAAATTGCAGTCATTGCTTCCTCTTACATCTCATTAGCTGAGCTTAGTCTCATGGCCAGACCTGTTACAAGGGGATCTGGGAAATGACGTTTTTTGCTGGGTTCTGTTATTAAAGGGAAGAAGAGGGGCATGGACGCTGCGCCCAGTCACAGCCCGTGACGCAGCTGGCTTGTATCACGCCCCCGCCTGAGACCCTGAGCACAGAACAGAGTTTAAATTCCCTGCTGTTCCTGTCAGCCTGCATGACCCGGCCCTGCCTCCTCTGCCTCCTCTGAGGGCCTTTCCTGCCTTCGCATTTCTCACCCGGCCAGCACTTCCCCCTTCAGATTGCAGTGCAGGTGTCATCGCCTCAGGGGAGCTTTCCCTTCGTCCCTCCACCACTCCTCCACTCCCTCCCCCGGCCCCAGTTGCTCTGTCATTATTTTGGTTTTTTGTCGATTTACCCAATGCTGCCGCTGCATCACCATCTCGGACAGTGTTGGTGCAGGTTAGTGAAGCCTGGTTCACATTGACCCCTGTGCTTTCTTCCCCTCCAGGACACCAGGGCCTTCTTGAGCAGGTAAGAGCCTCCTCTCAAGTGTGCCTCGCTCACCCCCCTGTGTCCCCTCCCCTTTTCCTTGACCATGACCCATTTGAATGAATGGGACTGAAATGGTACCCAAGGTGCCCACAGCCCGTGGTTCCTCCCGGGAAGCAGGAGCATGGCCTGAACGGGAGTCCGCCACCAGAGCGAGTTCCCTGGAGTCCCGCCTCCTCAGCCGGCTCTCCTTGCCTGAGCTGGGACAGGTGGCGAGGGTGGCGAGGTGGCCCAGTTAACTAAAGTGCTCGGGATTGGAGCCTGCTGATGGTTGCGGTTCACTTAGTGTCTTTGGCCAGTTTCTCTTTCTCGCTGAGGGATAATCATACTTTCCCCTCCCCCTTCATACGCGTTGTGAGGATTGAGAGAAACAGGAACAGCTAAGGTCATGTCTGTCATCTCAGATATCCACGGAAGAAGTTCTGGCTTGGGAAACCCTTTGCTCGGGTGGTCAAAAAAAGGACAGGAGAATCCTCAGATAAACTTCTGTCTCTGCAGCGACCCTGGAGAATTCCAGGGTGAGGGCTGGGGAGAGCCTCGGGGCGGGAGCAGGAGCTGCGTGGACCCTGAGGGAGGGCACCTGGCTCCTTACTGCCCTGTTCTGCCTCAGTGCTCCGGGGTCCGCGTCTGCGTGAGCAGCGAGCCTGTGGGTTTGCTGGGCCCGAGGGCCATTGCTGTCCTTTTCTTCCCCCAGGGAAGCTGCTGGGTGACTTGGAATATAAGACAGGTGAGTGTCCAACAGGTTGTTCCCATAGAGATTGTGACTGCCCCCTGGCGCCTGGGAGTCCCTTCTCTCATGCCACAGGGAGAATTTCCCAGCTGTAGTACTCAAGCCCCAGTGACATTTTCTGACCACAGTCCTGCACGTCCCTGCGCCAGGGGCTCCATGGGGCTGTCTGGCCCTTTTCTCCCTGTGCTTGGTTATTCCAGCCTCACAGGTCCTGTGACCAGTCCCTTCCCTGCGACTCAGTTTCTTCCCCTCTGGCCAATCATGTGCCTCTTGTGGTCGGTCCCACTGCACCGCATCCTGAGGCAGGGTGTGTGCTGCACGCCCCCCCCCCAACACCCCGTGGGTGTGGACCAGGATGTGAATGGGCCCTGGGATGGTGCCGTGTGGCAGCCCTGCCATGGACACCATGGTGACCGGTGGCCCCTCCCGGCCTATTGGTGACACTGGTACCACTTCTGTTCCCACAGTGTGTGTCACCCTGGACCCGCAGTCAGCCAGCAGGTACCTGCAGCTGCTGGAGGACTAGAAGTATGTGGCCTAGCACGGCCTGTCCCATGGCGCCTACCTGCACCCCCAGCAGTCTGACTGTGAGCCGGGGAGCTGGGCAGTAAGGGCTTCACCTGGGGCAAGGTCTCCTGGGAAGTGGAAGTGCAGAGAGAGGGCTGGTCCCAGGACGAGGAGGACTGGGGGGGGGACACCAGGAGGAGGGAGAGTGGGAGGCTGGCTCTGCGGGTGGATGCTGCGGCTGGGGAACCAATGCGGACAAGGCATCGTTCGGGGACCAGGAGGAGCAGGAGGAGGGTCTGGAAAGCTGCATGGTGGGGGTGGCCAGAGACTTTGTGAAGAGGAAGGGAGACCTCTCCCTGCGGCCAGAGGATGGGGTGTGGGCACTGCGCCTCTCTTCCGCAGGCATCTGGGCCAACACGGGCCCTGAGGCCAAGCTCTTCCTGGCAGTGCGGCCCCGGAGGGTGGGCATTGCCCTGGATTACGAAGGGGGCACCCTGACGTTCACCAGCGCTGAGTCGCAGGAACTCATCTACACCTTCACTGCCACCTTCACCGGCACCTGGTCCCCTTCCTGTGGCTCAAGTGGCCTGGAACACGCCTCCTGCTGAGGCCTTGAGCCTGCCTGCCGCCTGCCCCTGGCCCTACCCCCATGCGTCCCTTCTCTGGAATTCCAGGACTGAAGGAGGAAGGAGGTGCCTGACCCGAGCACCTGAAGCGAGGGAGAGGAGGGACTGGTCCACTGCTGGTCCCTCCCTGTGGCTGTGGCCCCTGAGACCTCTCAGTGCTGCTGCTCCACCCACCGCCATGGCTCTTCTCCTGCTGGGGTGGGTCCTGTGCAAACTTGCAACCCTGAAGTCCACGGGGCTTCTCCCTCCCTTCTGCCCACTGCCTTTGACCAACCCTGCATGCTCTTTGCTGTGTAAGAGGCCAGGTAGCATTTTCTTGCCGAGCGTAGCATCTCATGCCAGATGTCCTTGGGAAAGACCAGTGGTCTGTGCCACCCCTGCCATTTTGCTGTCCCAAATCCCAGAGCTTCCCCTCAGCCAAATCCACTCTGCTCCCTTCCCTTCCCAGAGCTGCCCAGCTTAGTGGAACATCTATGAAAAGGTTGAGAATGAACTGAATGAAAACGTGCCAAGGCTTCCTCGGCACTTGAGTAAGACACCTGGAGCCCAGCGGAAGTCGTTTACTTGTGTCCAGAGCAGGGGCTCGGGCTGTGTGTGTGAGGTCCAGACTGCGGGGGTGGGGGTCCTACAGTGACCAGTGGTCTTGGGAATGGTCTACATACCTGTGGCTTTGGGGTGACAGATGTGACCAGTGATCAATAAGTTACCTCATGGGTTGGTCCTCGTGTGGAGAGCTTTTAAAAGATCCCAGAATATCTTGCTTTTTTCAGTCCATGTGAAACTACAGGGCCCTGCCGTGGGAGCTCCGGTGCGTTTCTCCAGCAGGGCGTTCAGCTTCTGACACTGCCCTTTCAGTTTTCCTAGGACGGCTGAGGAGGCAGGACAGGCTGTGGGAGGGGAAAGGAACGCCCCCTGGTCTCTATGTCACAGGAGGGATTAGAGTGAATCCTGCCCACAGGTCAGCCCAAGTCCCAGCCTCTGTCCAGGCCCCAGGAGCCCAGTGTCACACAAGCTCCCTGCTCCAGCCGGTCACCTCGTGGCCGTGTCCTCACACTGCAGACTGTCTGCTGTCCTGCCTGCTCTGAGACTGCTCCCAGCCCTGGGTCGCAGTGCTCTCTCAGCCAGCAGTCTACATCATGTGCTGCCCGTCATGCCCATCAGATGTCTGCCTTTAGTTCTGTAGGCTCCTTAGGGAGGACACCATATCTTGTATTTCTCCTGTATTCTCCATGGTACCTAGTGCAGTGCAGGGTGTGCAGGACGTGCTCAATAAAACCTTGTTGAATGGACAGCCTGGACCTATGTATATGTTATTATAACTCTGATATCACCAGGCCTTCTGTCTGTGACTACAAAGGTTCCATGGATAGCAGTCGCCCAGGGCTTTCCTTCTGAGCCTGTCAGGACTGCGACTTTGCTTTCCATCCTCTGCACACATGCTGTCATTGCTAGAAGTCCCCAAAGAGCCCCCCACGGCACCCAGGCCAGCCAACACCAAGGTCGGGCATGTGTACATGCCGGGGCTCCCACAGGAATCGGGGCTACCACAGCACCCCCAAATCTTTCCATGGAAAGTAAGCAGTGCCCCGAAGGAAGTAAACCCTAGAGATTCTAGCTGCCGCCTGACACCACTGTCTGACCCTCTCATTTCTTCTGATTTTTTCTTTTCGTTGCCATGTTAAAGATAGAAAAGGGGTTACACAGTGCATCTGAGACTTGCCGCGCAGAGCACACTTCCTCTTTGGACTCTCATTTGTGATTCATGTTTTACCTTTTTATTGCTTCTTTCCTAAATACATATAGGCAAAATGTCAATTAGTAGAAATAAGACATGTATTATCAATTATAATTAATTGAGTCACATTTGAATCCTGATGGACAGTAATTCCTAGCATGTTCTTGAATATTGATGTGGATTGCTCCCTAAAATTATGCTCTACTAATCTTTTATTTATGGAAACATTTCATAATTCTCAAAATGCCTTTTATCTTTTTTTGGAAAGAATTTTTGTATAATGAGATTTCTAAAACTTTTTAAGGTGATCATTGTATAATTAAAAGATAACAGTTATTATTAAATAAGGAACATTTCCATTTGAACAAAATATTAATGCTTTCAGGTCATAGTTGCTTTAATGAGTTTTAGAGCATCATACTTCCCAAAATAAACTGGAGAAGATAAAATATGTCTCAGTATAAAAGACCCTTGCAAAATAATAAAAGTGTTTTCTGGACTAATAATGTACCACCTTCATGTAGAAAGTTGCCAGTAATACTTACTTAACAAATTCTTTTGAAACTTTAAAATTTTTTTATGTTCATGTTTTCAAAGTTGTGTTTTTTATGAATTATAGGTGCACATATGGTAACACTAACTTACAATGTTATTGCAAAAAAAGTTCCCCTGTTCCGCTTCTCTCCCCAGAGGCTGAGGTCATCCTTGTAACAGACTGTGTTGGTGTTTACCTTCATTTTTTCCCTGGTAACATGAGTTTGGGGCATGATCTTCTGCTTCCCCCTGTGGAGAGGGAAGGTGGAGTTCTGTTCCTGTCACCATACCCACCCCACCCGTCAGTGTAAGTCCTAACTTCACATAAGAGCCTGGTAGGTTCATCATTATGTCTGTAAAGACTACACCTGTACAGCTTTTTATCCCCTGGAGTCAATCATTGCCTTGTCCTATCTTTTTGCTTTGTCTCCATATTTGTCACCAGTTGTCCAATCTCAAGGTGTGCAGTCCACAGGCGCTCTGAACACTCCCCATGACGCTTTGCCTGCAGCCTCCTGATGGTCTGCAGTCCTGGACTGGTTCTATTTCTTTATCCCATGTTTTCCCTATTTTTAAATTTTTAAAATTTTTATTTTATGTAAATTTTTTATTGTTGACACTTTCAGATGTGCCCCATTCCCCCCCTTTGCTCACTTCCACCCAGCC